GATCCTGGAACGCCGGTGGGGCGGTGGGGCGGCGGCGGCGGTGGGGTCCACGTTGGGTGGAAGCCCCTGGTGACCCCCATCTTGCTGTGCCCCGCTCAGGGACTCGCTGCTGGTGATCCAGTGGAACGTCAGGGCTTTCATGGGGGTGAAGAACTGGCCGTGGATGAAGCTCTACTTCAAGATCAAGCCCTTGCTGAAGAGCGCCGAGACGGAGAAGGAGATGCAGGTGGGGCAGGGATGGAGGGGGCAGGAGGAAGAGCGGGTGGGCGGATGGAGAGATGGAGGGGTACGCCAGGAGGACGTGAGGTTTACAGGGGACCTTCGTGCCTCCCGCAGACCATGAAGGAGGAGTTTGGGCGGCTGAAGGAGGCCCTGGAGAAGTCGGAGGCCCGGCGGAAGGAGCTGGAGGAGAAGATGGTCTCCATGCTGCAGGAGAAGAACGACCTTCAGCTCCAAGTGCAGGCCGTGAGTGACGGAGATGGCCCCAGCCCGTCCCTCCTCCTTCCTTCGCCCTCCCACCCACCTTCCCCCTTTCCAGGAGCAAGACAACCTCGCCGACGCCGAGGAGCGCTGCGACCAGCTGATCAAGAACAAGATCCAGCTGGAGGCCAAGGTGAAGGAGCTGACGGAGCGGCTGGAGGATGAGGAGGAGATGAACGCCGAGCTGACGGCCAAGAAGAGGAAGCTGGAGGACGAGTGCTCGGAGCTAAAGAAGGACATCGATGACCTGGAGTTGTCTTTGGCCAAGGTGGAAAAGGAGAAACACGCCACCGAGAACAAGGTGAGGGCGGGGAGAGGCCTTGACTCCCAGCTGAGGGGATTCCAGTCAACTCAGCCTGGTTGGTTGGGTTGGGAAGACCCAAGGCCGGTTGGGTCATGAAGACCCAAGGCTGGTTGAGTTTCGTCACCAAGACCCAAGGCTGGTTGGGTTGGGTCACGAAGACCCAAGGCTGGTTGGGTTTCGTCACCAAGACCCAAGGCTGGTTGGGTTCTCCTGCATCTCCTGACTTAGGCCCAGCTCAACCAAGAGCGAGAACAACCTCCTGCTTCTTGCTCTACCTCCGACACCGAGCTGGAGGCCTGATGTTTCTCCTCCTGCAGGTCAAGAACCTCACCGAGGAGATGGCCGGGCTGGACGAGATCATCGTCAAGCTGACGAAGGAGAAGAAGGCCCTGCAGGAAGCTCACCAGCAAGCGCTGGATGACCTGCAGGCAGAGGAAGACAAGGTCAACACGTTGACGAAGGCCAAAGTCAAGCTGGAGCAGCAAGTGGACGACGTGAGTCCCGTCCCACCCGTAGCTGGTCCCGTGGGGGGCGAAGATCCTGCTGGGGTGGGTGTTTTGGGGGCTGACGGGGGGCGGTCTCTGCCTCGCTCGCAGCTGGAGAGCTCGCTGGAGCAGGAGAAGAAGATCCGGATGGACCTGGAACGGGCCAAGAGGAAGCTGGAAGGCGACTTGAAGCTGGCTCAGGAGAGCATCATGGACCTGGAGAACGACAAGCAGCAATTGGATGAAAGGCTGAAAAAGTAGGGCCCCTCCCACCCGCTCATGCTTTACCCATAATCCCTCTCTCTGCTGAGAACCCGGGAGCGTGACGGGTTGGCGTTTCTCCCCCCACCCAGGAAAGACTTTGAGCTCAACGCCCTCAACGCCAGAATCGAGGACGAGCAAGCGATCGCCGCCCAGCTCCAGAAGAAGCTGAAAGAGCTTCAGGTGAGGTGGGGGGGGCAGGGGAAGCTTCTGGGCCAATCAGGAGGAGGGGCTGGTCCTCCCCCTTTTCTTCTTCCCACCTTTTCAAGAAGGACCTAGAGCGGCAACGCCGCCCACCCCAGGTCTGGAGCTCAAGGCACATCCCTTCGTCAAGCCCCTCCCCGTGATTTATCTCCTCGAAATGACTCACGGGTTGCCGGGCGGGTTGTCTTTGGGGTGGGGTGAGCTGAGCCAATGGGGCTGGAGCACTCAAGGTTGGTGGGGTTGCTCAAGGAGGGTCACGTGAGCTGAGCAGACCGTCTGGGTTGGATCACGTTGACTCTAATGTCCTCAGAGAATGTTGCGCTGAGCAGCTCAAGGGTTGGTTGACCTGAATGTCCTCAAGACTGGTTGAGTTGAAGAGTCTCCAGTTGGTTGGGTTGATTTTAGTTGAGTTGAAGAGCCTCCAGCTGGTTGGGTTGAAGAGTCTCCAGCTGGTTGGGTTGAGTTGAAGAGTCTCCAGCTGTTGGGTTGAGCTGATTTGAGCTGAAGAGTATCCAGCTAGTTGGGTTGAAGAGTCTCCAGCTGGTTGGGTTGAGTTGAAGGATCTCCGGCTGGTTGGGTTGACTTGAGTTGGACTGAAGAGTCTCCAGCCAGTTGGGTTGAAGAGTCTCCAACTGGTTGGGTTGAGCTGAAGAGTCTCCAGCCGGTTGGGTTGAGTCAAGTGGATGAGTTGGGCAGAGTCGAGCCCAACAACGGTGTCCCTGCCCCTGGACCACAGGCGCGGATCGAGGAGCTGGAGGAGGAGCTGGAGGCAGAGCGGACGGGCAGGGCCAAGGTGGAGAAGCTGCGCTCGGACCTGTCGCGGGAGCTGGAGGAGATCAGCGAGCGGCTGGAGGAGGCGGGCGGCGCCACCTCAGTGCAGATCGAACTCAACAAGAAGCGGGAGGCGGAGTTCCAGAAGATGCGGCGGGACCTGGAGGAGGCCACGCTGCAGCACGAGGCCACGGCCGCCGCGCTGCGCAAGAAGCACGCCGACAGCGTGGCCGAGCTCAGCGAGCAGATCGACAACCTGCAGCGCGTCAAGCAGAAGCTGGAGAAGGAGAAGAGCGAGCTCAAGCTGGAGCTGGACGATGTCGGCTCCAACATGGAGCAGCTGATCAAGGCCAAGGTAGGAGTTGGGTCTCCAGCCGGGAAGGGACAACTCTTCCGTCGCTCTCCCTACGTCCCCTTTCATCTTCCTGCCCTTCTTGTCTCAAGGCCAACCTGGAGAAGATGTGCCGCACCATGGAAGACCAGATGAACGAGCACCGGACCAAGTCCGAAGAGGCTCAACGCATGGTCAACGACCTCACCACCCAACGGGCCAAGCTCCAGACGGAGAACGGTGAGGGCCTCGCTCTTCCCCGCCCCAATCGCCAATCCTGTGCCCAGTGGGGCGGCTTTGGGGGTCTCTCCAGCCAGTGATTGTCCACCTTTCCACCCCGCAGGTGAGCTCTCCAGGCAGCTGGAGGAGAAGGAAGCCTTCATCAACCAGTTGACGCGAGGGAAACTCACCTACACCCAGCAGCTGGAGGACCTCAAGAGGCAGCTAGAGGAGGAGACCAAGGTAGGGCTTCGTTGGGGAGGTCGGTGGGGCTGGAAGACACCCCCAAGGTCAAGGCTGAGGTTGGTTTAGGACCGGGGCGCAGCGTGAGCCTGTCCTCCCGGCGGGAGAAAATGACTTGAAGGTCCTCAGGAAGTTTGGTGGGGTTGGTGGGTCTTCAAGGAGGTTGGGTTGGGTTGGTCCCGAGGAGGTTGGGTGGGTCTAAAGAAGGTTGGGTTGGTCCCACGGAGGTTGGGTAGGTCTAAAGAAGGTTGGGTTGGTCCCGAGGAGGTTGGGTTAGGGTCTACAGAAGGTTGGGGAGATGAAGACCAGCTCTTAGTGGCTTGGAGAACCCCAAGAGGACTCCAGTTGACGTGGACCCAGCGGTCTCACCTTCTCCTCGCCCTCCCCGCCCAGGCCAAGAACGCGCTGGCCCACGCCCTCCAGTCGGCCCGGCACGACTGCGACCTGCTGCGGGAGCAGTACGAGGAGGAGACGGAGGCCAAGGCCGAGCTCCAGCGCTCGCTCTCCAAGGCCAACTCCGAGGTGGCACAGTGGCGGACCAAGTACGAGACGGACGCCATCCAGCGCACAGAGGAGCTGGAGGAAGCCAAGTGAGTCATCTCCCCACGGATGCTGAGGCTCTCCCGTGGGTGGTGGGACCCGCTCGGTCTTGCCGGCCGTCACCGCCCCTCTTCCCTCAAGCAGCCACCACCCAGGATGTTGGGCTGCTTCACGCTTGGTAGATCTAGAGCCCAATTTGGGAACTAAAAACCCATTTTGAGGAACCTAGACCGTCCGCGAGCCTCACGAGTCCTACCGCCATCTTCCTCTCAAATGTCTTCGTTTTGCGGGTGACCAACAGGCTGGGCTGGCGGGGTCAAGCGTAGGTTTCTCCCCTCCACCTGGTAGGAAGAAGCTGGCCCAGCGGCTGCAGGAGGCCGAGGAGGCGGTGGAGGCGGTCAACGCCAAGTGCTCCTCCCTGGAGAAGACCAAGCACCGGCTGCAGAACGAGATCGAAGACCTCATGGCGGACCTGGAGCGGTCGAACGCGGCGGCCGCCGCCCTGGACAAGAAGCAGAGGAACTTCGACAAGGTTGGGGGCACCAAGGACGGGTGGGAGGAGGAGGAGGGTGGGAAGGGGGAGGAGAGACGTGGGGCCCACCCATCGTACCTACCAAAGATGGGCAGGAGAAGCAGCCCAGAAGAAAGGTGGGCAACTCTCAAGGGCCGTGTTTCGGCAGAGCTTCAAGTCCCACCAGGAGATTGCTGGGGAGAGGAGGAGGATGAAGAGAGGGTTCTTCATGGGGGAAGCAGCTGGTGACGAGGGTCCTGGTGGTGTCCCCATAGATCTTGTCCGAGTGGAAGCAGAAGTTCGAGGAGTCGCAGACGGAGCTGGAGGCGTCGCAGAAGGAGGCCAGGTCCCTCAGCACCGAGCTCTTCAAGCTGAAGAACGCCTACGAGGAGTCGCTCGAGCACCTGGAGACCTTCAAGAGGGAGAACAAGAACCTCCAAGGTGAGATCGCGGGGCACGTCCCACCCCGCTCTTCCCCGCTGCCGTCCACGTGACCCGGTGGGATCTCCCCCGTGCAGAGGAGATCTCGGACCTGACGGAGCAGCTGGGCGCCAGCCACAAGACCATCCACGAGCTGGAGAAGGTGCGGAAGCAGCTGGACGCCGAGAAGCTGGAGCTCCAAGCCGCGCTGGAGGAGGCTGAGGTGAGCCGAGGCGCGTCCCCACGCCTCCCCGTCTTCTCCCGGTCTCCTCCGGGGTCCTCGACGTCCTCTCCGTGCCCCCCAGGCCTCTCTGGAGCACGAGGAGGGCAAGATCCTGAGGGCCCAGCTGGAGTTCAACCAGGTGAAGGCGGACTACGAGCGCAAGCTGGCCGAGAAGGACGAGGAGACGGAGCAGGCCAAGCGCAACCACCTGCGGGCGGTGGACTCGCTGCAGACCTCGCTGGACGCCGAGACCCGGAGCCGCAACGAGGCCCTGAGGCTGAAGAAGAAGATGGAGGGCGACCTCAACGAGATGGAGCTCCAACTCGGCCACGCCAACCGCCTGGCCGCCGAGGCCCAGAAGCAAGTCAAGACCTTGCAGGGCTACCTCAAGGTACCCGTCGGACGGCCGTCCCGCGAGGAGGCGAGGAGGCGCCGTTCCCACCGTCCCCCGGCGGCGGCCCCCCCTTCCCCACCCTCCCCGCTCACCGTCTTCCCCTCCCCGCGCCGCCCGGCAGGACACGCAGCTGCAGTTGGACGACGCGGTGCGGGTCAACGAGGACCTGAAGGAGAACGTCGCCATCGCGGAGCGGAGGAACAACCTTCTGCAGTCGGAGCTGGAGGAGCTGCGGGCGGCAGTGGAGCAGAGCGAGAGGGCCCGCAAGTTGGCCGAGCAGGAGCTAATCGAGGCCAGCGAGAGGGTCCAGCTCCTCCACTCGCAGGTGAGACCTCCCGGAGCTCCCAGGAGAGAGGTCACCTCCAACCCTGGAGAAACCGGGGGCGTGGGCGGCTTCTGGGTCAGGTCGCCGAGAGCTCCGGGCGAAGCCTGCGGAGACGGGGGGCTCGAAGGCCCGCAGGGCTGAAGCGGGACGGGGTGGTGTCCCCACGGCCACCTCCCGAGAGCCGCTCTGCCGTCTCCAGAACACCAGCCTCATCAACCAGAAGAAGAAGATGGAGGGCGACATCTCCCAGCTGCAGGCGGAGGTGGAAGAGGCCATCCAGGAGTGCAGGAACGCCGAGGAGAAGGCCAAGAAGGCCATCACCGACGTGAGTGCCGCGGGGGGACCCGCGCCCGGCGGGACGGAGAAGGCGCCCGGGGCCGCCTCCTCCCATGGCTTCTCTCCTCGGGCAGGCGGCCATGATGGCCGAGGAGCTGAAAAAGGAGCAGGACACCAGCGCCCACCTGGAGCGGATGAAGAAGAACATGGAGCAGACCATCAAGGACCTGCAGCTGCGGTTGGACGAGGCCGAGCAGTTGGCCCTCAAGGGGGGCAAGAAGCAGCTGCAGAAGCTGGAAGCCCGCGTCAGGGAGCTGGAGAACGAGCTGGAGGCCGAGCAGAAGCGCAACGCCGAGAGCGTCAAGGGCCTCCGCAAGTCTGAGCGGCGCGTCAAGGAGCTCAGCTACCAGGTGGGGCGCCTGGGGTGGCCCGGAAGGTCGCCCGCTGGCCCTGCGGCCACAGCGACCTACAGCCGATGCCATAGCGTGACCTAGAACGCAGTTGACCCGGTGGCCAGGGAGACACAGGTTACCCAGACCACCCACTGCCTCCATGTCCGATGCCATAGCATGACCTAGAACACAGGTGACCCGGTGGCCATGAGCCCCCCAGGCCACCTCCTGCCCTCCCAGCTTCCCCAGGGTCTTTGCGTGACCCAGATCCTCACGTGGAACCTCGGCAGGGCCAAGAAGCCACCTTCACCCTGGGGGTCAACCCCACCTTCTGCCCCATAGCCGAGACGACCCATAGATCTCGAGGGGTTCCGCTCCACCCCCCCCAGAACATCGTTAATTGTCTCCTGGCCCTAATTGCTCTCATGGTGCCCCAGAGCACGGATGGGTCTGGGTCCCGACCCACACGTGTCTCACCTGGCAGACAGAGGAGGACCGCAAGAACCTGGTCCGGCTGCAGGACCTGGTGGACAAGCTCCAGCTGAAGGTCAAGGCCTACAAGCGGCAGGCGGAGGAGGCGGTGAGCGCTGGGGGAGGCGGCCATGGGGCCACGCCCTAGGATGGAATGGGGCGGGGCTGGGGCGCAGGAGAGGGTATGGGGAGTCCCAGGGGACCTGGACATGGCGTGGTCAAGGGGTGGGGAGGGTGGGTCAAGGGAGAGATGGAGGGTGGGACAGAGGGATGATGGTGGGATGGATGAAGGATGGAGGGATGGATGGAAGGTGGGACAGATGGTTGGTTGGTTGGATGGATGGAAGGTTGGATGGATGGATGGTTGAGTGGATGGTTGAATGACGGGATGGAAGGATCCAACCCGGGTTGCTTGGGTGGATGGAAGGTGGGACGGATGGACGGTTGAGTGCCTGGAAGGTGGGACAAGTGGCTAGAAGGTTGGATGGAT